AGTGATGACTTTTTAGATGCAACACCAAAGGCATGATCCATGAAAGAAAGAATGAATAAGGTAAACTCTGTGATGAAAATGAAAAATTTCTGCTCTGCAAAAGACACTGTCAAGAGAATAAAAAGCCACAGATCAGGAGAAAATATTTGCACAAGACATACCAAAGGAACCGTTTTCCAAACTACACAAAGAACTTTTAAAACTCAAAAATAAGAATACAACCTGAAAAAAATGGGCCGATGACCTTAACAGATACCTCTCCAAAGAAGGTAACAGTTCACTCTTGAACAACATGAGTTTGAACTGTACAGAACCACTTACACGCGGATGTTTTTCAATAAATATATCGGAAAATTTTTTGGAGACTTACGACATTTTTTAAAAACTCGGATGTAGCTGGGCAGAGTGGCTCACACCTATGATCCCAGCACTTTGGGAGGGTGAGGCAGGTAGATCGCTTGAGCTCAGCAGTTCGAGACCAGCCTGAGCAACATGGTGAAACCCTATCTCTACAAAAAATATACAAAAAATTAGCCAGGCATAGATGCTTTGTCCCTGATGTTACTAAGTACCTTGCCAGTAAGGGAATACGTTTTAAAGTTCTTTTCATATTGGACAATGTCCCTGGCCACTCAGAACCCCATGAGTTCAATGAGGACATTAAAGTGGTCTATGTGCCCCCAAACACATCTCTAATTTAGTCTCTAAATTAGGGGGTCATAAGGACCTTTATTCAAAGCTCATGACACACGGTACTGTATAAAAAGGATTGTCAACACTATGGAAGAGAACTCCCACAGAGAGAACATTCATGAAAGTCTGGAAGGATTTTACCACTGAAGATGCCATTGTTGTTACAGAAAAACCCATGAAAGCCATCAAGCCTGAAACAATAAATTCCTGCTGGAGGAAGCTCTGTCCAGATGTTGTACATGACTTCACAGGATTTACAACACAGCCAATCGAGGAAATCATGAAAGAGACTGGATATGGCAAAAAAAAAAAAAAAAAAAAAAAAAAAAAAAAGGTGGAGAGTGAAAGTTTCAAGATACGGATCTTGGAGAAATTCAAGATCTAATAAAACTGATAGGTAGTTTTCATAGGAAACATTTTAAAAAAATCAAATATGTTTCAATGGGCACTACTGTTTACAAGCAATATTAAAGAAGACAAAACAACACTTCTGTAATAGGGACAAATATAACCACAAGGTACAGGATCAGTGCAATAAATTCACAAAACTATATTCCAGCTAATCAGTTTAAGAATTGTTCCCAAGTCAGTCACATTTTTGGCCCCCAGAAGTGCATTCCTACAGATTTCAACTACTCTAAATTTTTAGCTACAAAGAGGTCAAGAATGATTATAAGAGGCTTTCCAAGGAGTTACAAAATTTTTGTAGACCAGAGATCAACTATCATCAGTGCAAGTCTGCTCTTACCAACAACTCTTACATTTTTCAGGAAGAAATCTCCAGGAAGAGAGTCACACACCAGTACAGTCACTATCTCCTATGCCAAACCTAGGGAACTGAAATGGACGATATTACCATAAAATGAGAATTTTAAGGTTTATCTTTAAAGGCTTATTCCAATCTCAAAGAGTAGTCAGAGAAGATTATCTTCTACTGAAATAAATCTTGGCTAAATATAGAAGACTTCTGTACTTTACTGCTGTTCTTCGAGTAAAAGTCATAGACATGAGTCTTAACCTACTGTATACTATAGCTAAAGTCAGCTGAAAACCTGAAATTAAAAGTATGCTAAAAATCCGGGATCTTTTGGAAGTCTGCTACTAAAAAGCCATTAAGGATTTACTAACTTCAACTCTAAGTAAAGGGGACAAAAGGTCTAAGCCTGTCAGACATTCCTCATTTGAAAGAAAAGATCACAGTTTCCTATAAATTGCTAGTTTTACACAAGGGAGAAACCTACACCTACTAGGGAATCTAACAAAAGAAACACCAGAATTTACAGAAGATGATTTCATGGAGATGAGTGCATCTGAACCAGTGCCACATGATTAGGCAGAAGATGTAGCAGAAACAGCAGTGCCAGGAAAAAAAAAAATTAACATTAGACAACCTGGCAGAAACGTTTCCATTATTCCGACTTCTTTTATGACATGGACCTTTCTACGATACAGGCACTGAATTTAAAGGGAACATAGAAGGATTGGTACTTTACAGAAACATTTTTAAAGAAATGAAAAAGCAAAAAAGTCAGACAGAAATTACAATGTATTTCCATAAAGTTATACCCAGTGCTCCTGCCTTTCCTGCCTCCTCTAGTTCTGCCACCCCAAGACCGTAAGACCAATCTCTCATCTTTCTCTTCCTCAGCCTACTCAATGTGAAAATGGTAAGGATAAAGATCTTTATGATGATCCACTTCCACTTAATGAATAGTAAATACATTTTAACTTTCTTATAATTTTCCAAATAATATTCTTTTCTCTAGCTTACTTTATTCAAAGAATATAGTATATAACACATATAACATACAAAATATGGATTGGTCAGCCTGTTTTTATGTTACTGGTAAAGCTTCCAGTCAACAGTAGACTATGAGTGGTTAAGTTTTGGGGGAGTCAAAAGTTGTAAGTGAATTTTTGACTGCACAGGGGGTCAAAGCCCCTAATATCTGCATTGTTCAAGGGTCAACTGTACAGATGTCAAATAAGCACATAAAAAGGTGCTGTATATCATATGTTCTCAGGGAAACACACATTAAAACAAGGAGATACCACTACACATCTATCAAAATAGCCAAAATGCAGAAAATGTCAACTGCTGGCAAGGATGTGGTGCAACAGGAACTCTCACTCATGGCTGGTGGGAATGCAAAATGGTACAGCCACATTGGAAGACAGTGTGGTGGTTTCTTATAAAACTGAACATACTCTTAACATATGATCCAGCAATTGTGCTCTAAGGTATTTATCCAAAGGAGCTGAAAATGGGCACATAAAAACCCACATGTGTATGTCTATAGCAGCTTTATTCATAATTGTCAAAACTTGGAAGCAGCCAAGATGCTCTTCAGTAAGTGAATGGGTAAACTGTGGTACACTCAGACAATGAAGAATTATTCAGTGCTAAAAAGAAATGAGGTATTAAGCCATGAAAAAAACATGGAGGAACCTTAAATGCATATTACTAAGTGAAAGCAGCCAATCTGAAAAGCCTGCATGTATGACTGATACCTCAGGCTGTATGATTCCAACTATATCATATTCTGGAAAAGGCAAAGCTATGGAGACAGTAAAAAGATCAGGGTTGGGGGAGGATGGGATGAACAGGCAGAGAACACAGCAAATTTTTAGTGCAGTAAAACTATTCTGTATAATACTATATTGGTGGATACATGTCATTGTATTAACACATTTGTCAAAATCCATAGAAATACAACACCAAGAGTGAACCCTAATGTAAATTACAGACTTTGGTTAATGAGGATGTGTGGATGTAGGTTCATCAGTTGTAACAAATGTACTACTATGGTGCAGGATGTTAATAGTTGGGAAGCTGTGCATGTGTGGCAGCAGAGGGTATAGGGAAATTATCTGTACTTTGTGCTCAATTTTGCTGTGAACCCAAAACTGCTCTAAAAAAATTAAATATATTTAAAAGGTGTGTGTGGAAAAGTATAATAAACAAAATCACAAGTTTTATGATTTAGTTTTATATTATTTGAACCCTTATTTTTAAAACTGTAAAACTGTAAACTCCTTTCCTTTGCTTTCTTAAGTAAAGTTCAACAGTAGATAAATCTTTCTCAAGGCTTTCTGCAGTACCTAAGACTCAGAGTGCTTACAGAAATAACAGTCAATATAGAGGAAAACAATGTATCATTCTGAGACTTCGATCATTCAAATTTAAACCTAAAGATCCATCACATACATTTTAAGTTTTCTGATAAATATAAATTATGTTAACCTTGAGGCTGAACAACAGAAATGAGTCAACAATCTATTTCTAATATGAACAAAGATGACCAAAAACACCCCATACCTCAATTATTACAATTTTGTCCACATGAAATGCAAACTACTTACATACACACAAAAACTTAAAATACATTAACTCTGAAAAACATACTGCTACTTTACAGAATCATTTTTTCAAGTACAGTTCCAAGCACTGTTTATCCATACATAAATTATCTTCCTAATAAGAACCTGCTTTTATTTTACATATATGCCAAATGATTTTGATACAGCATCCTGAAAAACACTAGAGAGCTGAATTCTGTCCTGTCATTCAGTTGCATATCAAGTTAAGATAATAGCTAAGAGCCTGGACTCTAAACAGGTAGAGGAGTTTTGAATCATAACTCTACTACTTTCTAGTTGTGTGATCTTGGGCATATGACAAAGCCTGTCTGCAAATCTAATTTCCTCATTTGTGAAATGAGGATAACTCAAAAATCTTATTTGGTGGATAAAATGAGATAGCACAAATCTTAACAAATAGTACACAAAATGCTAGTTATTGTTTACTATTAAATAAATGCTTTTTTGGCCGGGCGCGGTAGCTCACGCCTACAATCCTAGCACTTTGGGAGGCCAAGGCGGGTAGATCACGAGGTCAAGAGATCAAGACCATCCTGGTCAACATGGTGAAACCCTGTCTCTACTAAAAATACAAAAATTAGCTGGGCATGGTATCGCACACCTGTAGTCCCAGCTACTTGGGAGGCTGAGGCAGGAGAATTGCTTGAACCCAGGAGGCGGAGCTTGCAGTGAGCTGAGATTGCGCCATTGCACTCCAGCCTGGCGACAGAGCGAGATTCTGTCTCAAAAAAAAAAGCTTTCTTGATTAGAGATTGCTTTATGTAACACAACATTGTTCATCAATAGATGAGTAAATGAGACTTGATACTCGTGTTTTAAAAAATGACAGACTCAAAAAATTTGCAATCCTAGTAACACTTTAGTATATTTAAAAGAAGAGGTTTTTTTAAAGCACAGTTAGTGAAAAAGCATAATAAGCCACTTACTGATGTCCATCCTCTGCTCAACAGGTAAAGGACTGACACGGCTGACAAGTTTTGAAAGACATGTTGCTGCAAGGAGCTGAGCATAGGATGTCTGTAAAGAATAATTTTATTTATTATTATCATAAATGAAATTAAAATAAAGCATTGTGATAGAAATGTTCTTCTGAGCAATAGCAGAAATTCTTCCAGTTTTCCAAACAGGCAAATTTACAATAGATAAAATACGTCAATTTGAGATACATATATACAGAAAAGGATACACATACACAGGCATATAATCTCTCATAAGAAATCATTAGTTGAGGGAGGTATAGACAGTCATCTCAAATAACAATAAGCAAACAGGAGAAATAAATTACTAAGTAAGTTCAAATAAAATACAGTACTCTTACCATGGTCTACAGCCCTACACCATCTGGCCTCTGATTATCTCTTCAAATTCATCTGATTCCATTCTTGACTTTGCTCTGACCATGATAGCCTTCAGGTTCCTTTCCATATCTTCCCCACCCTGACCTCCGTGTTCCTTGAAACCCATGTCTGACTATATTCTCTCTGGCCCCCAATTATCTTAATACTGTACTCAAATCCTCTAAATGCATGCTCACTCTTTAAAATTTGGTTCACGTATTCACTCCACCTCCTAGAAATTCTTGCAAAGACACTCCTTCTTTTTTTCTCTAGACCAGAGGCTGGCAAACTATGGCCCCTGACCAAATCCTGCCTGTTTTTACATAGGTTGTGATCCAAGAATGTTTTTTACAATTTTAAACAGCTTTTCAACTGTTCAAAAAAATCAAACAATAACAATATTTTGTGACAGAAAAATATGTGAAATCCATATTTTGGTGTCCATAAAAGTTTATTAAAACACAGCCACGCTCATTCATTTACACACTGCCTATGGCAGCTTTCATGCCATGATGGCAGAATTGAATAGTTAAGACAGAGACCACACGTGGCGCTCAGTGCTTCCTACTGCTGCTCAGAGTATCATAAACTGCAGTGAGGTAGGCACAACTCTACAGTGCCTAGAGAGCCATGGGTGTTGTCATGACATGACACATACCTTTTATTATTACCAGCGTATGTCTATCATATCAAAATAAGAAAAGATAAAAGTGGACTTCAAATATCTAATTTTTAAGGCACAAAGGAGTGTGGACTATTCTTTTATTGATTACATGGCAAAACAATGTGCTTTTTATGCAATGGTACTATGGTTGTCCTAAAAGAATATAATACACACTGACAATATCAGACCAAGTAATATCCCCAATATTCCCATCAAAATATTCCCAACTCAGGAAATCAAAAGTCAGAAAAAATAGAAAATTTGATTATCTCATCATAGTAGACTGTCTTTACAAATATAAAAAATGAGACTGCAACCAAAGTTTCCAAGTGGCTCATTTGTTAGTCAATCACACAGCCATTTACCAATGATGAGTTAATTAAATCATCATTGTTTTATTATAGCAGCCAAAGTTATATGTGCAGAGAAAATAAGATTACTAGTTTCTGGTGGGAACAAATTCTCAAAGAGTTGAAGACATTGGAACAACATCAAAAGTCAATTTGAAAACAAGACAAATGATTTGGAAAGGTTCTCCTTAAGTCTTGATGAGTGGACAGATGTTTCTCATAACGCTCATACTCTTAATGTTACCAACACTTACTATCTGTTTATTCTAGAAGTCAATGCTGAGTGTGACGCAACTAAAGAATTGGGCTCTATGAAGACTGTGGGAGAACTACAGGCCAGAATATTTTCAAAGAAGTTGAGGACACATTAATTCAATATAAACTGAAGTAGAATCTGCTACGATATGTCACACTAGTGGTAAAAACATATGGAGCAGAAAAGGGCTTAGCTGAACAAATTTACAAAGCTTGTGAAAAATGTAACACGTTTAAAGCCTATGGTTATTCACCATATTGTTCACCGGCAGATACTGTGTGGTAAATATATGAATCTATTTTAAGTTAATGAATCAGTATTGCTAACAGTGGACTTCATTCACTTTTGTGAACTTCAGTTCTGTTCATTTCTGTAAGATAAAGAAGCAGTATCTGAATATTCTGTATTGGGAATAATATTCTCACTTGTCTCATCACACAATAGTTTAATAGCTTATCAGTGATAAAGTTTCACTGCTATTTTTTTAGCTTAGGGATAAAGCTAAATTTTCTGAATGAGACAACCAAGTCACCATTGTTCAACACTAAATGGCTTTGGAACTTACTTTTTGCTGCAAAATTGGTAACGTTCCTTAATAAATTCAACTTAAAATTACAAAATTGCCTAAAAAGTGCTTAGAACCTATATGCAGAACTTATACTGCAGTAAAGCCATTTTGATAACGTCATTTGAATTGCAAGTAATGTCAGGCAGCTTTATATACTTCCCACATTGTCAAAAGTTAAAACAAGTAGTGAGATCTCTATTCAGAGATATATTTTCTGAGCTTCAACTACAGCTCCAGCTTCAGATCTTGATGCAAGTGTAAAGGCAATTTCCATATTATAAAATCCATTTAACTGTGCAATTAAGAGCTCCCACCTAATCTTCAATTGGAAGTGGTCAATCTGCAGTATAATGACATGCTAAAAGGCAAATATCATGATTTAACATAATTTTTAAAATGCCTTCTAAACGATGAATGTGCTTAATTATAATCATATGCTCATAGACTGATATTAGTATTTGGCAGTGCCCATCTATGTGAAAAGATATTTTCAAATATAAAATATGTAAAATTTCATTATAGATCAGCATTAACATATGAACATTTGCAATCAATGTTGATGATAGAAAACAACTCTAAACTCCAATTATTAATAGCAAAATTTTATCCACCAAAAAAACAGTTCTATTCTCTTCAGTAACAGACCTGTATTATTAAAAAATCTGTATCAGATTATTATATTTTGAATCTCATCAATAAAACTTTGTAGACATTTGTTTTTTCTCTTTCTATAGATGTTCTTACTAAATATCTTCCATTTTGTCTCCTGGCCCACAAAGTCTACAATATTTGCTATCTGACCCTTCCAGAAAAAGTTTGCCAACTCTGCTCTAGAACACACAGTCTCTTACTGCAATCATTTCATAGCTATTTATATATCTGCCTCTCCAACTAAACAAAGAGCTACTTTAATTCATGTACATAAATCAAGTAAGCAGTACAGTGCCTGGTTTGACATTTAAATATTTTACTAAATGAATATGAATGTCTAGACTACGAATCTCTAGATGGGACTCAGGCAGGAGGTAATCAGCATGCTTTCGAATCATCCTTTCATGTTTCTGAGGTAATTACAATCTGCCTCCCCTATCTAGGTTTTTTAAAGTTGTTAGTCAACTTTCTAAAAATGCAATTTTTGCCCACTAATATGAGACATAAAAAGAGACCAATAGTAATCAAGAAACTATCTCAATTCATTCCTACTTCATTTCCTGGCTCCTCCCTAAGTTTGCTTTCCAGGTTTTCCAATTCTTTTCCTGATTAATCCCTTTAACAGTGAAACTACCGTTTCACAAAAACAAAAAAACCATGTGGCAGTATCAGTTACCACTGCTAACACAGGCGTTCATTAACAATGACATACGTCTACTGATCTTTCATGGTTAATCATTGTTACCAAATACTTACTGTGCCTCGTTCTAATAAAAGTTGACACTTGCTCAGACATTCTGGGCTGTCAATAAGTTCCAAGAGTGCTTTCTCAGCCTCTATTCTTTGTGTAAGATCAGTCCCTATGTAGAGATGAGTACATAACACTTCCAATTCAGCCAAACTCTTCAAAGAAAAAAAATTAATATTTTACTTCAATGAAAAAAATAAGGTAAATATTTAATCACAAAAAAAGGGATACAAATATCACATGTGTATTCATTAATTCAATACATGTTTATTGAAACACAACTACTTACTAGGGGATACAGATGCAAACAAAACAGGCCCATCTCTTACTCCCCAAATTATTTACTTACAAATTGATAGTTCTGCAATGGAAAAATACAAGAAAGGGAGAACTTGTCTACAACAAGGATTTGGAAAGGTACGCCTGAAGAAATAATATTTATGCTGAGACCTACAACGTTGAATCAGATTTTAAAAAGACTAGAAGGTAGTCCAGGCAGGCAAAGAGAGAACATTTACCAGGGTCCTTCAGTAGAATGGAGTTCAGTAATTTCAAAGCATTAAAGGTTAGTGAGGCTGATAAACACAGCAAGGAGATACCAGATGAAGCTAGGGAGATGGATGGGGGGAAATGATCACGCACAAGTTGCAGATAACCACATTTATATTCTTTCTCAAATTTTAAGAATTTAAGGCTGGGCATGGTGACTCATGCCTATAATCCCAGCATTGTGAGAGGCCAAGGCGGAAGGATCGCTTGAGCCCAGGAGTTCAAGACCACTGCAGGCAACATGGCAAAATCCCCTCTACAAATACAACAAAAGTAGTCGGGTATAGTAGGGTACGCCTGTAGTCCCAGCTACTAGAGGGCTGAAGTGGGAGAACTACTTGAGCCTGGGAGGTCGAGACTGCAGTGAGCCATGATACCATCACTGTACTTCAGCCTGGGGACAGAGCAAGACCCTGTCTCAAAAATATATATATTATTTTTGTTATACGTTGATTTGGAGCTTCTGAACCAACAACTCAAAGTGCTGCATGATTTTCAGGAACTCTGACTTGATCCCAGGGTATTTCTAGCAATGTAATAACCAGTTATATTAAACGCTCGTATTTTATAAGCATAAAGACTAAAGTGTTGTGTTTACAATCCTATCTTGATGATATAAATCTAATCTCATATGACGGCATGTGACACATGGAAACCATCTAAAAAAAGAATCAGAAAATGAGTTCATCACTCCTCTCCAGCTTAAAAATTTTTTTGTTAAAGAGGTCTTCTGAAAACAAATTACCTCACTTTAAACTTGAATTAGAGAATTATTATCTGAAAGAAAAAATATTGGCACAGATTTCAAAGTCAGGTAGGCATATGAAAGTAATGGGATATTCATTTTTAAAAATGCCATTTTTTTGTCCTTTCTAGCCTGAATTTTATGCGGCAACCTTATACCTACACTAGCCCACACATTCCCTCACGTGCACGTGCATATACCTTCTCAGAAAAAGGAATACACAATTAACATCAAAATGAGACCTACTCCAGCTCCCATTATTCTTTTTACTTGTCTCTTCCTCTCTCCTTCTTAGCTCTTTTATAGCATTTTCCATTTCCCTATCTACATCAGAGCCCAGCATCCCAGACTTGGAAATTTCCTGCTAGAGTAAACACAGAAGTCCAAAAGTAAGATTTCAAATAGGCTAATTAAGATAAAGAACCTCAAATGAACCACATTTTAAACATTTCCCCCACCTAGATTAGCCCAAAAAGCCCAGATTACTACTACATACTGTTCACAACAGTAAAATGCATACAATATTTATGGTTCATGAATACATAAAAATTATCTTGTTTTCTCCAGGGTAAGAAATACAAAAATAAGGGGCCAAGATGGCCAACTAGAAGCAGTGGCAATCAGAGGCTCCGAACCAAAACAGCATGTGAATCCTGCACTGATAACCAAGGTATCCAGGTTCTCTCATCAGGACTGACTAGGCAGTTGGGGTAACCCACAGGGAGGAGGGAAGAGCAAGGTGGTGCAATGGCCCACCTGAGAGCCACACAGGGCAGGGGAGCCCCTATTCCCAGCCAAGGGAAGTGGTCGGTGGCCCTCGAGGACAGAGATCCCAGAGAAAGGAACAGGCACCCATCTGTGCCATTCTCCAGCCTCCTCAGGTGACATCTCCAGGTATAGGAGCGACCCAGATTAACAGGGCCTGAAGTGAACTCCCAGCAAACCGCAGCAGCCCCACAGAAGACGGACCTGGCTATAGAAAAAAAAAACAAACAGAAACCACAACAACAGCATCAACGAAGAGTCCCCACAAAAACTTCATCCAAGGGTGAGCAGCCCCAAAGATCGAAACTAGACAAACTCATGAAGATGAGAAAGAATCAACGAAAGAATATTGAAAACCCAAAAGGCCAGAGTGCCTCTTCTCCAAATGATCGCAACACCTCTCCAGGAAGGGCACAGAATTGGATGGAGGATGAGATGGACAAATTTTTAGAAGTAGGCTTCAGAAGGCGGGTAATAACAAACTTCACTGAGGTAAAGAAGCATGTTCTAACCCAATGAAAAGATGCAAAGAACCAAAATAAAAGGTTACAGGAGCTGCTAACTAACCATTTGAGAGAGGAACATAACTAACCTGATGGAGCTGAAAAACACAGCACGAGAACTTCGTGAAGCATAAACAAGTATCAATAACCAAATCCATGCAGCAGAAGAAAGAATATCAGAGCTTGAAGACTATCTTGCTGAAATAAGACAGACAGAGAAAAAAGAATGAAAAGAAACGAACAAAACCTCTGAAACTATGGGACTATGTAAAAAGACCAAACCTATGACTGATTGAAGTACTTGAAAGAGACAGAGAGAGTGGAACCAAGTTGGAAAACACACTTCAGGATATCATCCAGGAGAACTTCCCCAACCTAGTAAGAGAGGCCAACATTCAAATTCAGAAAATACAGGGAACTCCAGTAAGATACTCCACAAGACAATCAACCCCAAGACACGTAATCATGAGTTCCTCCAAGGTCAAAATGAAGGAAAAAATATAAAGAGCAGCAGGAGGGAAAGGCCAGGTCACCTACAAAGGGAAGCCCATCAGACTAATAGTAAATCTCTCTGCAGAAACCCTGCAAGCCAAAAGAGAGTGGGGGCCAATATTCAACATTCTTAAAGACAAGATTTTTCAAACCAGAATGTCATATCCAGCCAAACTAAGCTTCATAAGAGAAGGACAAATAAAATCCTTTTCAGACAAGCAAATGCTGAGGGAATTTGCTACGACCAGGCCTGCCTTCCAAGAGCTCCTGAAGGAAGCACTAAATATGGAAAGGAAAAACTGGTACTGGCCACTGCAAAAACATCCTGAAATACAAAGACAAAGCACACTATGAAGAAACTGCATTAACTAATGGGCAAAATAACCAACCTAGCATCATGATGATGAGATCAAATTCACACATAATGATATTAACTTTTAATGTAAATGGGCTAAATGCCCCAATAAAAAAACACAGACTGGCAAATTGGACAGAGTGTCAAGTTCCATCAGTGTACTGTATTCAAGAGACCCATCTCACATGCAAAGACACACATAGGCTCAAAATAAAGGGATGGAGGAAAATTTACCGAGCAAATGGAAAGAAAAAAAAAAAGCAAGGGTTGCAACCCTAGTTTCTGACAAAACAGACTTTTAAACCAACGAAGATCAAAAAAGACAAAGAAGGGCATTACATAATGATAAAGGGAACAATTCAACATGATGAGCTATTCTAAATATATATGCAACCAATGCAGGAGCACCTAGATTCATAAAATGAGTTCTTAAGAGACCTACAAAGTGACTTAGACTCCCACACAATAATAGTGGGAAAATTTAACACTCCACTCCCAATATTAGGTAGATCAACAAGACAGAAAATTAACAAGGATATTCAGACTTGAACTCAGCTCTGGATCAAGGGGACCTGATAGATATCTACAGAACTCTCCACCCCAAAACAACAGAATATACATTCTTCTAATGCCACATGGCACTTACTCTAAAATCAAACACGTGATTGGAAGTAAAGCACTCCTCAGCAAATACAAAAGAACTGAAATCATAACAGTCTCACAGACCACAACCCAATCAAATTAGAACTCAAGATTAAGAAACTCACTCAAAACCACACAACTACATAGAAATTAAACAACCTTGCTCCTGAATGACTCCTGGGTAAATAATGAAATTAACACAGATATCAAGAAATTCTACAAAACCAATGAGAACAAAGAGCCAACACCAGAATCTCTGGGTTGCAGCTATAGCAGCATTAAGAGGGAAATGTATAGCACTAAATGCCCTCAAATCAATACCCTGACGTCACAACTAAATGTACTAGAGAAGCAAGAGCAAAGAAATCCAAAAGCTAGCATAAGACAAGAAATAACTAAGATCAGAGCAGAACTGAAAGAGATAGAGACACGAAAAATCTTTCAAAAAAAAAAAAAATCAATGAACCCAGAAGCTGGTTTTTATAAAAACTTAATAAAACAGACTGCTAGCTAGACTAATAAAGGAGAAAAGAGAGAAGAATCAAATAGACACAATAAAAATGATAAAGGGATATCACCACTGACCCCACAGAAATACAAACTACCATCAGAGAATACTATAAACACTTTTACGCAAATAAACTAGAAAATCTAGAAGAAATGGAAAAATTCCTGGACATATATACCCTCACAACACTAAACCAGGAAGAAGTAGAATCCTTAATTAGACCAATAAGTTCTAAAATTGAAGTAGTAAAAAAATAGCCTACCAAACAAAAAAGCCCAAGATCAGACACAGCCGAATTCTACCAGAGGTACAAAGAGGAGCTGGTACCATTCTTTCTGAAACTATTCTAAACAACTGAAAAGGAGGGACTCCTCCCTAATTCATTTTATGAGGCCAGCATCAACCTGATACCAAAACCTGGCAGAGACACAACAAGAAAAGAAAACTGCAGGCCAGTATCCCTGATGAACATCGATGTGAAAATCCTCAATAAAATACTGGCAAACCAAATCCGGCAGCACATCAAAAAGCTTGTCCAAGCCTAG